AAGGTCGGGGGGGGCACACAGTCTCACGGTCACCTGTGGCTCTGACCCATGTTTTCTGAATTAGCTGTGTGTTAATTATTTTATCATCTGGCCCAGAAGTGAAATCTATCTCTTCTTTCAAGTTTTAAAACCCCCCTTTGTTATCAATGGAAGTGGAGTTCTTGGGGTGCTGTGAGGAAAAGAATTTCCTGAGGCCCCCATGGAAAGATTTATTGATGATGTAAAATTAAGCGGGTTCCCCTCCAAGGTCCCATCTCTGCCCATCCCACCATGCAAGAAGTCCAATCTTGGCTCCAGTAGGACCAGAATTAAGGTCACTGCCCAGATTTTTTGTCCATATTAAAGTCCAGTCCAGTATCTGGCTAGTTTAGCTTGTGTTTCTAGTTGGACTTTAGTGCGTGTGGGGTTTGTGTGACCATGGACCATGTGGCTGCTTAAGGCTATATGACTATGGAGAGAGAACAGGTGAGGGCACAGGCCAGTGTGGGGCACAGAGCGAGAGGGATCAAGCCTGAGAACAAGAGCAAGGGAACTCTTTGGGATTTTTAATAAGGAGATTCTTCAAACTAATCAATGAACTCTTTATGATTTTGAGCGCTTTCAGTGGTTCCACCCTCCTAGCCAATGACCTTTTTTCCAGACAAGACTGACAGTCAAGAACCTTCCCTATGTCACCCTGACTTTACTGTTCATGTGCCCATCTCCCCCTTTGTTCGATCCCTTCCCCCAGAGATCTGCAGGGAATGGACTGGTGGTTCCCTGGGGAGTGTGAAGCTGTAGCTTCCTGGTGAAGCTGCTCACATGACCATGCTTATAACATCTGGCATCCCCTTTGCTCTCTTCCCATTCATGCAGCTAGATCCTCTTTCTTTCTTTCTTTAACTAGCTAATTATGATGATAACACCTTCCCAGTCATAGATGTTTGGGTGTTCAGGAGGCCTTGAAAAATATGGGGAGCATGTAGTGTGTGCCGAAAGTGCCCCACCCAGAATTTTTTTGGTTAGTGAGGCTATCCCCTAGCTGCTGTGGGTGTTGGCAACTCACAGATTCCCCCTTCACTGGGGAATTGTCCTGGGCTGCCAATGACTGCCATGTGGGAGATAAGGCTGGTTCCCCTGCCTCACAGTGAGACTATTTCTGGCCATAAGTTGTGCTCCAGAGAATCCTGTGGGATCACACTGAAGCTACTCTTCAGCTTTGACTACATCTTTACTTAGCTTATTCTGTCTCCTAAGCCACTCCCCAAATAAACTACTTGCCCCAGAATCCCCTACTCAGGCTCTGCTTATAGGAAAGAAATGAAGGGCAGAAGAGATGGAGATTTTCAAAGCAAAGTATTTTGAATAAAACTAGCATATGTCCTTGTCCATAAAAATCCTCTGGCTGCCCCACATCTGGAATTTTCACTGGCTTCTTCACTCAAGCTGTTCTCATATCAGAGTACCCCACTGGTCTCTCATTTACTCTCTTCCTCATTCCTTTCTTTCCTGGTTTCCAAAAGGAGCTCCAAATTATTCTTGCTATTTCATGTAGACATCCAGTGTTCCCCAGTTCTAGATTCCAAACTTAACTCCAGGTCCGCTTTGGCAAATCAAAGCCATTCAGCAATTCAGACGAACAAGGGGGGCCTTCATTCATGGCAGCTGTGGCTGTGAATAGCAATCATTTGTGTTCCTCCATTACACACATGACTCTGTGTGAGAAGCAAACATACTGCGTGCAATGTATGGTGTGTATGTTCCTTGGATAATGTCTCCTAAATGCTTAGGACCTAAGAATAAAACTCTGACCTTGGACTACAAGGTCCTACTGGTCTGACCTCCTTGTCTCTGGCTCTCCTCTGCTTGCTTCTCTCTTCCCATTCATGCAGCTAGATCCTCTTTCTTTCTTGAATGTGGCAAGGTCTTTCCTGACTCAGGGCCTTTGCACTGGTTGGTCCCCAGCAAAGTCCTTTCCCCATCTTTTCCTGGCTAACTCCTTACTAAACCTTAGTTCTCAATTCAGATGCTTCTTTCTCAGAGAGGTTGCTCTGACCTCTCAAATTATAGGAGGACTCCTCTTATTAACTTCTTTCATAGCATGTAGCTCAGTGGTTATTAAGTTTATTTGCATGCTTGCTTGTCTTTTCATTTGTTTCCTCCATTATACGTAAAAAGCAGGAAGGCAGGACACATCTTGTCAGTCGTATTCCCCGCGGCTAGGTCAATGCTTGCTTGGTGTTCAGTACCAGTGTCCTGAATGAAACAAGCCGAGAACCGCAAGTTCACCTTCACAAGTTTGGTTCGGCCCCCTCGGTGGTCTCCGGGCCTGAGAACAGCACCCTCAGCTCCGCTTCAAGGGTGACCTTTCCAAAGCAAGTACTGTCCATCTCTCCCCAGCTTCTTTGCGTGCCATTGGAGAATCTCTGCGCTTAGGTATCCGCCGCTTCACTTTCCACGCGTTTTCCATGCCCCCGACACCACGCCTCCCCTAGCTACGGGGATACAGAAGGGCAAGCCCGACCGGCGGGACTACAATCCCCAAAATGCCCTGCGGCCCCACGCCACATGATTGGTTGAGCTTTCGGCAGCGTCCAATAAAACATGGTTTTGTTGGCTTGTGCAGTCCCGGAAGCGACAGTTCAGCGTCTGCCTGGTTGCTCGGAAGCCGGGCCGCGTGACCACCTGCCTGCCCGCCTCCTGCCATGGGGGGAACCGAGAGCTGCGAGAGCCGTAGGGTGTCCTTCGGCATGGACGAGGAGGAGCGGGTCCGGGTGCTGCAGGGCATCCGGGTGAGCTGGCCGCCGGCAGGCGCAAGGAGCGAGCACGGCCGGGGCAGGGCGGGCGTGGAGGGCGCCTGAGGGTGCGGAGGCCGGGCCGGCATCAGGGGAGGTGCGGGCCGAGAGCGGGTGGGCGCGCCTCGCTCGCGGAGCGCTGCCTACTCCATGGTGGTGAGCATCTCTCCCCCTGCGCAGTAAACGGGGAAGGTGAGGCTCGGGACAATGCCCAGGGTCCCCCGTGCAGGGAGTGGCCGCCTTCGGGCTTCACCACTACGCCGGCATCAGGGGGAAATAATTGGAGAGCGAGCGAGATGGTGAGGCCACATCCAGCCCCAGTTGACTTGTTACTGACCTGATCTGTTCCACCGCACACCAAGTGCATGCGTCTCGTTCTCTGTACATGATATGCTGCTACCGACCCTGGACAACTGCAACAGCCTTTTAACTAGGGGCTCTCGGATTCTCAACACTGCAGCCAAAGGGGCACTTTAAAAGTTGTAATTCAAATAATAGACCCTTCTCCTTAAAATCCCAAGCAAGGGTTTTTTGTTGTTGTTTTGGTGTTTTTTAAAATCCTCATGGGAGGACTTGTTGCTTGATTTTTAGGGAGAGAGAGAGAGACGGAGACGTCGGTGTGCGAAAAAACATGATCCGTTGCTTCCCATACGCTAGGTATGTGCCCTGACCAGAAATCGAACCCATAACCTTCTGGTGTACTGGACGATGCTCCACCCAACTGAACCGCCTGGCCAGGACCTAAGGAAGGGTTTTAATGAATGCCTAGTGCATTTAAGATGAAAAGGAATGACCTTACCTTGTTTTACAAAGCTGTGCTGCTGATCTCTCTGACCACGTTTCACAACCCTCCCCCCCATTCACTAGCCTCAGGACCTCCTTGTCCCAGCAAGATGTCAGCTTGCTTCAAGCACAGGACCTCTGCATTTGCTGTTTGTCTCCCCCAGCTTTAAAAATATTTTTTAAAAAATTTATTTATTTGTTTTCAGCTAATAAGAGCCATATGCATATGTACCTAAAATTATATAATGCCCTCTAGTTCTGTTGTAATAATGATTGTACATTAGCAAACACCTAAATGTTTTACTAATTGAATTTCATAGGCAACAATATAGGATAATAAAAACATTAATTTCTAATTACTTCATTTGACATCACAATGTAAAGCATGAATCTATTAATGTATCTTGCTGAGAAAACAGGAGGTTTTAAGATTCTAAATCTAGATTTTAATGATTTTGAAATAAATCCTTGGTTTTCCCTATTTCCCTACAAATCATAATTTTGAATACAGTCATATAGCAATCACAATTCAGTTGACTGTTGAAGGTCTTTTTCAAATTGTGCCCTTTCCAACATTTTTCTGAAGCTGGTTTCTGGTTGGTTCCTTCAATACCAAGAGTTCTTGTATGATGATTGCTGGGTAATGTTTGCCTGATAGTCCAACTTCCACTTGTCCTGTCTTACTTAGCTCTATAGGGACGTATGCAAAAACCCGACTCACCTGGACACTATAACTGTGGCTTTCAGACATGGTGTTGCCAACCACCTTGCCATTGTACCGGATGCTTTCATTTCCCTCCAGATTAACGTCCATTGCCAAGGTGAGGCAGAGCAGTCTCTGTTTCAGCCCCTTGGCTTTAGTCTGTTTCAGTGCTTACCTATTAGTCTGCTGGCTGCATCAAGGTTCTGGTTAAGGTTTCCTTTCCAGGCCCTATTCCCACCCCCACCCTCACCCCCAGCTTTTCGTATATCAAGCTCTTACCATTCTTGTTATAGTTAAAATATTCGAGTATCCTTACCTGACCACTTAATCTAAAGTACCTTCCCACACACAACTGTGTGTTGAAGTGGTTAGAGAAAGGAGAGTGTTTTTATAATAGAGTGGGGGCCTCTACTGTTTGCCTGTCATAGTACTTGGTAAATACATTTGGTGCCTGCTGGTGTTATCTAATCTTGACCTGACTCATGGCAAAGGCAAAATGAGGTTGGAAGGTTGAGAGGCAGGAGCCTGAATTGAAATTGAGAAAGATATCCTTGGCTACATTTGGGTGCTCTCCCACCTTTGTCACCTGGTATCCTGCTTTGGGGAATGTTGGAAAGATAGGTCACTGGGAGTTTCTAAGGTTCAGGGGAGTCCCTTGGGAAGTGATTTCCTTTGAGTTGACAGAGGAACATCAACTTTTTGGATATCAGGCAGGTACATTTTATTTCTAGTTTTCTTGACAATTCTGCAAAGTATAAATTCTCTTTAAAGATGGAGAATTGGGCTTAGAGAGGTTAAGGAATTTGTCCAATGTGTTACCTGAGTAACTTCTGGAACTTTAATCCAGATCTTTTTCTCAGTACTCCAGCTCCTTCCCTACCACTGATGCAAAACAGCAAGAAAATTCTGTGACAAAGCCTCCATCTGTCCTGATAGGGTGCTGGTGCCTCACTTTGTTCTATCGGAGGTTGTTAAAATGAAAGAGAGCTTTGGTGACAGGTTGACTGCTGGACAAACTCATTAGAGAGAATAAATGACTTGCCCTGAGTCACACTGTGGGGTGCATGACCCCATGCTATTACAGCCCCTCCCCCCCTT